ATGAAAATTGAAGGAATCAAGATGTCCAATGGAAATAATGGTGCATTGGAATATCTGCAAGAAATACCATTTGCCTGCAAACGAGAACTGGTGGGACCACAAAATAGGCAAAGGAACAGAAAATGAAGAAGCAAAAGTGCTCTGGGACTTTCTGTTCAAACAGACAAGCACCTGCCACACAACACCCCAGACTTAAGAACTGTTGATAAGAAAGACAAAAAAGTCTGGACAGCGGATGTTGCAATACGTGGAGACAGCAGAAGAGAAGAGGAAGAACTGGAGAAAAACACAAAGTACAAAAGACCTGCAAATAGAAGTAGAACAACTGTGGCAAAAGAAAGCAAAGATAGTACCAATAGTTATAGGTGCCTTCGGTTCAATCGCCAAACATCTGGAGCACCACTTGAAGACCATTGGCATTGACAAAACCACCATTAGTTCATTGCAAAAGGCAGCTTTACTTGGAACAGCTTCTATCCTGCCTTTAACGATGCCTAAAGACGATGCCTTTAACACCATAAAAAAAATCTGCCTATTCCAGGTCCTTGGGAAGGACTCGATAGGTGTCTTACAAGTTATATGAAAACTATTAATATCGTCATCAGGATCTTGTTCCATGGACAGAACCACAATTCCCAGTGATGTGGCTCCAAACCACCCAGCTTTGATTGATCTCCTGGCAGTTATCTCATGTAAACTCAGCCTGATAAGAAATCCTGCTGAAATAAAGCAAAGATGGGACTGTGCATAAGACTCCATGTCTGAAAGGATATTTTGGCTGGTCCATGGCTGGACCAAAGCAGATGTCTTCCAGGAAGAAAGAGCATGAAAAAGCCAAGGAAGGACAGGCACAGTATGGGAAGAAGAGTGTTGGGACGTTTAAAAGGTAGGCTAAACAGTTGCATATGCTCTACCTCAGTGTTTCTCAACCTCAGCAACTTTAAGCTGGGTGGACTTCAACTCCCAGGATTCCCCAGCCAGCATACTGGCTGGAGAATCCTGGGAGTTGAAGTCCACACAGCTTAAAGTTGCTGAGGTTGAGAAACACTGCTCTACCTGAAGCCAAGGCCACGGTCATTGGCGAAGCAGTCAGGGGAGGTCACTGCTCAGAAGACCAGCAGATGGGTTGGCATGTAGCCAGTACAAAGGAGGAGGAGAGAGATGGACACCAGCATTAGCTGACCCCCCCCCCCCTCCCATAACGCCCATCTAGGCTTCAGTTCTACCCACCCACAACACAATGGTTTGTGTTGGTGTTTGAAACACAAAACCCATCTTCTGCTTTGGACACACTTCTGAACCAGACAGAGAACCATTGGTCTGCTGAAAGAGTATGGATTTCATCTCCGGGGAAGGAATTCTGGTGTAAGACATTTAGAAAGTAATATCCGGGTGGATGATTTGCAACAGTACCACCCCAGGATGGAGTCATCAGGAGTATTCATGGCTAGACTGAAAGTGACTGCTTTGTGGAACCCTGCCCTACATTCCCAGATTTGGGAAAACCATCTAAGGAAAACTATGTGATACCAACAGAGGTGAATATGTGTAGCTCAGGGTTGAACTGTAGAGTCCTTGGGGTTCTCTGAGCTTGGTTCTTTTCTTGCAAACATTTCATTACCCGGCTAGGAAACATCTTCAGTGTTATAGTGTTATAGTGTTCACTACATGAATTAATGGCTAAGTGCCTTCTATGCTGCACGTAGGACTTTTACCCTTATATTACATCATTCAGCATCATTTCAACCCCCCCATTTTGCCATAATGCTTTTGATTGAAATCACCGTAGCTATAGAAACCCAATGGAAGTAGCGGAAAACAAGCCACTCTTGATTCTTGAGAGTTAGAAGGTAATAAGACTGCATTAAATCGAAAACACTCTGGAGAAGCCAGAAGTCAAATATCCAAGGGCTGAGCAGAATCCAGTGGGGCTGTTCTTACTAAACCAAACCATAGAGCCGCAGTGGAAAAATATCAATTTGAATGCCCCCCCCATCTAAAAAGTATGCATAAGCCTCCTTGCACATGGCGTCTCTGGTTTGAACTTTTCTCCCTGCTATTTTAGTCATCAGTCCATGCAGGGTTGATTTTTATTATTCCAACCCAAAAAAATGAAAGGAAAGAAATTGTGTTGTCTGTCTGTCTTCCAGTAGAATAACTCTCTGAACAGAACAATGGGCCAGATTTGTTGTTGGGGGAGGTTTGGGGGCAAAAGAAAGACCAGGTTTGAAAATGCACAAGGTCCAGCCTGGGGTTGCTGAGAGAAACAATCCAGAAAAAAAATCTCTCTATTCATCTCAGTAGCAGCTCGGGCTGAGGCTCAAAATGTGGCTGACTGCTCCTTTCTAAGCCCCCTCCCTTCTGGTCACATGACCCAGAATGGAGCACATCTGGCCAGCCCTGTGCTTCCCCAAACCCGCAATCACATACTGATGCAACGCCTTATTTCATTACAGAAAAGAAAATAAGTGAAACCGCCTAGGGCCACTGCTGGTAACGGAGTCAGAAAGAATTGCATAAACCAGATCTGCATGCTTTTCCTGCTTCTTGAAGATATAACAGCATATGCAAATACGTGGTTTCCCCATGGGGGGTCCGGAATCACCCAGCCTAGGAAAGACCTATCTTGACTGTATTCATACAACCCACTTTACCAGGTCAATTCCAAACCAAATAGCTGCATTTGGATGGCATGCTAAGATGGATTAGGGTTATCCTTGACTATTTTTTAATGTCTTACTCTGTCATATGAATCCAGTGTATGTGAATATTGTAGCTTATGGTAAGGAGAGAAAGTCTGTGCAAGGGCTGTATTGATTGCTATTGACGGACCTTGACTACCTCAGCTTCGAATTTTCTTTTATGGTTTTTATTGTTCTTAAATTGTATTGTTTGGTGTTCTTATATTCTTTTTAATTGTTTGCGAGCCACCCGGAGTCATATCTTTGAGATGGGCGGACTATATACATTGGAAGAATAAATAAATAAAAATAAAACAGGTTGTGTGAATGCAGCTAATGTGAGACTTAATTTCCTGCATGGAAAGGTATAGCTACATGGCTAACTTCACACAACCCAGTTAGACTTAAACTGTAAACAGTCCAGAGTTGCTGGGAGTCGGGCAGCATATATTATGGTTATGATTATGATTATTACATGGATTTAAGGTACTTGTATTGTAACATGTGGTGGAAAGTTGTATGTGCAGGTCATCACTTCAAGCCATCATAGGGTTTAATTTGGGCGACACAGCATTATCTGTATTCTCTTAACCTAGATGCAGATTCTATGTGTTGTATGGACTCAACCCACATGTTGTTAATATGCCTTTGCACCCCACAGTTAGCAAGGAACGTGGCCTAAAAATGGCTTACAGGTTCTCCTGGAGGTCCAGCAGTCCCAGGAGGTCCTTTTGGACCTGGTCGACCCTGGAAAGAGAAAGCAAGGGAATTTTCTAGAAGATATCAATGATGCCCAAGGAAGACCTATCAAATCCTTTAGGGAGGCAGTAAATAGTGAAGAGCAAAGCTGAATCTTAAGATAAATTAGTTTTCATTATATCTCCTTTTCTTTTCTTGTCTCACACCATTAATTTCTTTGGCCTATTACTTTTTACCTCTTTTTTGCTTTCTGTATAACTTTGCTTATCCCAAAAGTGAATAACTTGACAGGTACATAACTTAAAACTACAACAACAGCACACACACACATGGAAAGTGGGAATTCCACTGTACTTACAGCATCACCTTTTGGCCCTCGAAAACCTTGGTGGCCTCTATCACCCCGGGGGCCCTGAAATTATTAAACAGAATCCATTACACATCACCTCTTCCCCTCTACTACTGGCCAAGCTCTGATTTACACTGAAGTAAAACAATACTCATCTCCCTTAAGAGCGTTGCATCTTAATTGGTGCCCTCCCACTCAAAAGCCTGACCGAAAGGAAAGAGGAAGAGGAGGAGGAGGAAGAGGAAGAAGAAGAACCTGAAACAACTGTGAAGGAGATGGAAAGATACAACCTCTTCCTCCTCCTCCTCTTCCTCTTTCCTTTCTATTGCTTGCAATCAGATAGAATTATTTACAGCCCATGGGTTGCCAACCCAGTCTAAATTCTGGTCATTTTTGGGAGCACGGGAAATGCTGGGAATGTTGATGATTTTCCAAAGCTTCATCTCCATGGCCAACTCCAACCATGCCCCCTCTGGACACTTTTCAAGTTTCCAGAGACTTATCCTAGAAGACCCCACAGTGGTTGACCAGAGGTGGCCTTCACAATGACAGTGAATGGATAGTGCTGGTAATCATGTGCTGGGGGTTTAAAAGGTGACTATTAGCCAGTAACTGAAGCAGAGACATTTCTATACGCTGATCCAAAGGAGTTGCCGAAGCACGATCATGGATAAACTGTCAGGCTGTTGATTAACTGTCTAGCCTAGGAAGAGGCAGCATATAAATTATTGCAAGCAAGCAAGCAAGGAAAGGTGAGCATTTATCTCATTGCCTTTTCTGATCTACAATCGCTTCCAGAAATCATTCTAACTGATAGCACTGGGGCTAAATTTGGTGCTTGCTGCATGAAAGCCGTGTGCGCTCTTCTATCTGGGTAAAATCTGATTGCTTGAAAAAAAACACTTTGGGGGGAAAATGCAATGTAAAAAAAAAACATACCGCTTTTCCTGGAGGCCCTGGAATGCCAGGTTGTCCTCTGAATCCAATGTCTCCCTAAAATCAAGGAGACAGCATGATAAAATCTTTGTCCCTCGGGGGCGGGGGGAGTTACTTAAAAATTACAAAGGCCAGAAAGGGACTCAGAGATATTTCACATCGTTCCTGTATGAGAACCATTATTATCATCATCAGCTTCATCATCATCCCCATGATGCCACTGGGAGGGCGCTAGACACAGGGACGCCTGAGATCAGTGGGCAAGTTAGTGGCCACGTTGAGGTCTGAACTTGCAACCATTCCTGTTTCCACCCCATGAATCGAATGGCTCCTGCAAGCAATTCTGGCCAAGAAAATACAGAGAGATGAAGGATGGCATCCAACTTACTCTGTCCCCAACAGGACCGATTGGCCCAACAGGTCCACTTAATCCCCGGGGACCCTAAGAAAGAGAATCAGTTCAAGGTAAAGCACGGCTGATTTAGGTGTTAGATTTAGAGCCTCCCTTTTCAGCTTCTGCAGGAGCTCAAAGCAGCTGAGACAAGAATCTTCCTGTCTTGTGGGTTGGGCTGAGAGAGGGGAACTGGCCCAAAGTTGGCCCTTGAGTGTCCATGGTTGGGGATGGAGTTTGGAGGTTCTCACTTGAGCTCGACTACAAACCTTTGCGGGGAGGATGGTAAAGCCAGCTGACGACTTTGGGTCAGTCACTCTCTCTCAGCCCAACCCACCTCACAGGGATGTTGTTGTAGGAATTTTTTTTTTTAAATTCTCCTTTAAGTCAGACTCAATTCCTGGTGGTTACTTGGACATATCCATGTTGCTTTCTTAGTGAACAGACAGAAATGGCTTACTACTGCCTCCTCTGGAACATTATTTTTAATGTCCCACAGGCCTGAGATTTCCTGTTGGTCTCCCATCCAAATACTAAACAGCCCACCTCTGCTTAACTTTTGGAGATCAACCAAAGTAACAAAGTGATTACACGGTGATTACACGGACGTGTCCAATACCTGGCGTCAGTACAGAAGGAGTTTGCCATGCCTTCTTTTGGGATGGCTTTTGGACTTTATCTAGCCTAAAGCCCTGGGATTTCCTTGTGGTCTCCCATCCAATTACTAAAGAAACCCAATCTTGCTTAGCCTTGTCAAGACTAGGAAAGGTTGGTCCTCTGGTGGGGAACGCAAGATACAAATTGAGTGAATGAATGGATGGTGCATTCACTGAAGTCTCTTCTGCTTGGGGCACTCACAGAAGGTTAAAACATAACATTTAATTAAAAGCACTTAAAATATTATTCAAGACACATGAATACAAAGCAGCCATCCGTATTAAATCGTAAACAAGCAGCCCATCCAGTTCAAATACCCAAAGGGTCACGATTTTTTTTAAAAAATCCTGCTGCTGGCAGAAGGCTACCACGGAAGAGAATCCAGCTGGATCTTCTGTTGCTGCCGCAACTTCGTAAAAAGGACTGGGGAGAAAGAGCTGAGTTTTAAAAAAAAGTTCAGCTTGTTCTACCTGCAAGCCGACATTTCCAGGAGGCCCCACCGGGCCTGGCGGTCCTCGCGAACCCTGAGAAAAAAATAATAAAAGAGATAAGACGATTGATGGTCAGAAGTCCTCTAAAAAGAAATGCGGAGCGGTCGCCCGATGCTGATTCACAATTTCTTCCTAGGAGACCCTTTGGGCCGTGGTAGGAATATTTTGTTCAATGCATTGGTCTTTGCTGAGGTGGGGTGGGGGGCAGGTTGAAAGCTGCAGGGGTCTGTTGTGATGCAAGCTTTCTGCCTGCGCATCCTAGGGTCTCCCAGGCATGCCAAAAGAGCAGAGCCTGTGATCCAACACAGGTTGGGTCATTCTGATGAAAGCGGCGCTGTGCCATTGCAGGATCCGCCCCTTTGGTGGGTGAGTCCCGACACAGCTTGCAAGTGTGCCAAAGGGGCGGAGCTTGTATTGCAACGGCCGCTTTGACTACAGCAGTGTTGTCCAAACTTGGCCACTTTAAGATGAGTGGACTTCAACTCCCAGAATTCCCCA